AGATTCAAGTCGTTTGATGGATGATATGTCCTTAAACCTTCCTACAGGACTGTACAATAAAGGATAACTAATTCTACACCATCTTAGATGCTCTTGGCGGCTCTGAATTTTTGATAAGAGAGAAGCCTTACCATCCATCCTCCTGTAGGGAGTCCTGTCACTCCAAGTCTACAACCCTTCATGTAGGAAAACCAAGACTTTTCAAACTTAAGAGAAAAGACAACCCGTTTGAGAGTGGGCGTGTGTCCCTCTTTGTAATTCAAGAGTAGACAAATCTGTTTTGCTAACTGAAAATGTGGTCAATGGGAGGAAAGATTAGTTGAGTCCATGTGTTGAACTTTGAAGCAACCATTAAAAGTGAGGTTTCATTGAAAGATAGGTTTTAAATTACTTGGTTGAGTTTCCTCATGCTGTTAGTTATGCTACCTCCTGAGGATTTTTAGCGACCCATCTATTGACACATCAGTTTGTACTACGAAGAATTAGATTCATTAGCCACCCTTTTTGTTTCAAATAAATTATAGACCACAGCGCTTGTTCCATAAAAAAATGTCAACTGCGTAAGTAGTAAGACCGTTTCTCTGAATCCAGACCTTCCCGAAGGAAGCCTCCCCTAGCAATCTGAGTTTGCCTTGCAAAATGAAAATAAGTTCAACAAGGGGCACATAGTAGATTAGGATGGTGTCTTGGATAGGTATGATGTTGCATGATATTGTCTCTTTGTGTAGTCCATTATGTCTTAAGCATAAGCTCCTAAAGCTCTAGAGTGAATTGATATGAAATTGTTGTTTCTGCCACAGGAAAAAAAAAAAAAGAAAGAATATATATCATTTATGTATAAAGTCGGTAACTAAAACATGATGTAATATTTTTTGTGGGGAAGTTGAATCTGCAAATCCCAACACAAAATTTGTCAGATGCAAAAAAGCTGAAAGCTAGTCAACCCTTTGGCATGAGTGGCTGTGTCAAAATATGTACACAAAACCTACGCTAGTCTAAAAGAGTGTAATTTATTCTAGCTTTCATTTGGAAGATGTGAATGCTATATGAGGAGCAGGCTAATTCATGATCTTTTTTTCATCCTTCCGTTTATGTTACCTTGGTTTCCTTCCCATATCTTTCTAGTTCATCATGCATTTTGAACTTTTAATTCGACTAATAGATCAATACTTATATGCATTTGGCTCTGATGGCTCAGAAGATAAAGCATTAATAACTAATCCATTTTAGCAGTGCTTTACTATTTTTCATTTTTAACTGCTCAGTGTATATGATTTTTTTCAATTATAGTAACTCGCTCAATTATTTTATGGTTTTTTAGCATGGAGGAACAAGTTATTAGTCGTGCTCATCGGATGGGTGCTGTTCGTCCTATTCATGTTGAAACCTTGGTAATGCGTGAAACAATTGAGCAGCAAATGGTACAGTTTTTACAGGTATATGTTTTTGAAATACTAGCAGTATTAGTGATCCTCCTTTGGATATAGAGTTGAATGGAATAAAATGTTTATATTCCAAAAAAATCAATGGTAAGATACATAGTTATCTATACATGAGAAAGATGGAATACATAAAAGGAAAGGATCACGACAAGAATAAAATAAAATCATTAAATGATTTTACAACTCATTAACATATTTACAACCAACAATTACTTGGGGATCATCTAATGTGAGACTTTGAGATAGCCCTTAAGAAGCACAGGAACAGACATGCGACACGATACAGACACGAACACATGCATGACAACACATCGATTTTCAAAAAAGTAGGATACGATACATTTAAGACTCATTATTTATTGTTATTGCTATTATTTATATATATGTGTATATCTTGACATGTGATGAATATTTAATACATTCAACGGAAAATTCTACTTTTAAACATCTAGGAACATCGGTACAATTCACTAAAAAGATAACAATTAAAAAACAACATCAACAATATCCAATATCCAGCAAGTCTTATACAAACAACATGAACATATCCAATATCCAATAAGTCCTATACAAAAAACTACAACGTAGAATCAAACACAAACCTTGTACACACTATTTATTCCCCCCTTCTTTGTCCTCTACACTGGTGGTCGCTAGTGGTTGATGACAACTGGCAATGGTCGTCAGTTGTCGTTGTTGATGAGTGGCTAAGAAGCTTTTTATTTAATTTTTATCTTGTGTGTGTGTGTGTGTGTCGTGGATGCATCTTGAATTGAAGGTTAGGAAGATGATGGAAAGAAACCGTAATATTTTAAGGCTTATATGTGTAGTGGGCTTGGCTTTAATTGGGTATTGGGCTTTCTTTTACATGGCATAAAAAATTTAAATCTTGGGAGTTTTTACATGATGTATTTTAATTGTCATTGCATGTCCCAACTGTGTCTAAGCATGTCCCCATGGTATCGGAAAATTAAAAAATAATTAAAACATACACATGCAAAACGTGTCAAATATGTGTCGACAACGTGTCAGAGTGTATCGGTGCCCAACACTTACATTTGGCCATTTTACAAATGTCGGTGTTTTATAGGATAGCCCCCAAAAGGCTATTGATATGGTAATTTCTCTTTGGTATTGCAATATAGTTCTGTTTTGTGTTTTCTTGTTAGGGGAATCCTAACAGCTGATCGGGGATTTTTCTATTGAATATGTTCAAGGTATTTACCTTGCCAGTGGGGTTCAATAAAAAAAATCTTACATTTTTAAGAGTTCTCAACTTCCTTATCTGCCTCGGTATGAAATAAAAGAAAAAATCCTGACTCCAGTATATATTACATATCAAGTCCATTATCTTGTCTTCTCTAATCCTTGATACTTCTCTTACCTAAACTCTTTTTTGCGCCTTAAATGATTGATTATTATGAAACATTCCACGTCTTGCAAGTTTTTGGGGTTCCTTTTAATGCTTTAAGCCTCACAATTTACTCTTTTCTTGCTTTGTTGTTCCCCTTTCAAATGAAGGATACTGGTGAGTGCAAAAGGTTAATGAAGGAAGACTTTGACAAGCTTGATTATGAAGGGCCACGAGCTCATCGTTCATTGCATGATTTTGCTGGGAGCAATTATCTTTCTCAGCTCAAGTTTGTGAGGACGAATCCTATGATAAAAAAGGATGTAGAGAACATTTAGTTGTTAGTGTACAGATGATATTAAGATTAGTTTTACAACTTGAAGGGAAAACCGAAGCAAATGGTCTGCATTCATAAGTCAAGAAATAGAAGTAGGTGTACGTTCATTTTGTTGTCAGTTCAAGTTATTGCTGAAGACTGAAGAATTCAATCAGCATAGTGTTACTGGTGCTTACTTAGGTTTAGAAAAACTTGGATATGCAAAATGTGTATAATTCATTCAGTCAGTAGCTTCTGATGGACAGAGATAACAACAGAGCTGCAGGTTATAGCAATTCCCTCGCTTGATGCCCTTCCTGGAGCTAGTAGCAGAGGGCGGGCCAGGTTCGAATTCAGATTAGACTTTTATTTGTTTGAGCTGCTCCCACATTTTTTTGAGGGAAATGTAACCCAATTGTACACTTGTTACCATCTGTTCTGCTCGTCTAAATTGGCTAAGCCATTGAAGTATATTGATGCAGGTTGTAATACTGCTGGTGTGAGAATGAAAGATGCCATGTATGTTGTAGAGTATCTCTACACAATTTACCATTTTAAAAAACCTTCATTTCAAATGGATAGGCACAAGTTTTGTTTTGATTTAATTAGGGGTAAAAAAATTATGATAGGCCCTACTTTTAACTTTATTATATTGATCAATTAACTGTGTTCCTGACAAAATCTGACATATCTTCTTTCTTATCAGTTACTTTGTTCAGTGTGCAAGAGATTGAAATTAGGGCAAGCATCCAAGAAAGGTGGATTGAGGGGTTTCCAGCTAAATCACAAGAAAGCTAATATCTCTATACCTTGTTATATTCTTGAGAAGTAACCATGAATTAAACTTTAGGTACAGGAAAGGATAGAAATGGATAACCTCAGGGCTAGTGCTTTTCTACTCCCTTTCTTTTAACAAAGGAGTGAAGAGAAGTTAGATTTCTAACTATTTTTTCATGACCTTTTTGTCATAATCACTGCACCAAAGTTACAATAGGTACACTCCCTGCTTTCCATGCTTCTCAAGTAGCCGCAGAGCTTGTAGTCAAATATGTGTACACTATGATGAAGAAGAAGAAATGAAATTCACACTTTGATCATTTATGATGATGAGTATAGATGTGTGTACTATGATGTTGATGATCATCATCATCATTCTTATGTCTTGCATGATATTCGAGGGTTTATTGACCTTCAAGCATTTAGTTATAGACAATTAGCCCGACTATGATGGGCACAAGGGGGTACAAACCGCCTGGTGGACTCAAGCTCGCTCCTGTGGGTCATGTGTAGGGTAGTACTACACTTTTATTTTTGTCAGTCACCTCTATGATGATTTTAACGATAGGTTCAAAATCATGAGTTGTATGTGTTTGCATTCACTAACACAAATAGTGAGGTCACTTACGGAATATTTCTTTAAATTTTCAAGTAAAGACAAGGCACCCCTATACCGCCGACGATGACATCACAATTAAAAACCATGACACATGCATAAGGTAGTCGTATTTAATTTCGTAGACTTTAGGTTAGTATAGGTCTTTATTATTTTATTTTTGTTTATTTTCACACATCTTTTGTATTGTTTTGAATATTATTTAAACATGCAAGTCATTGACATTGTTTTATGAAGATACTCATATAAGTCCATGACATTGTTTTATGAAATACTTTTAAAGGATTATTTTCACTTAAGAGGTTATGTTAGGAAGATGGTAGCGACTTTAGGTTAGTTAAAATTTAGGTCATTACATTTAATACTAAGATAATAATAATTAAATTAATCCAACTAAAACAAAATTTAAGACATCATAGATTAAACTTAAAAGTCAAAGGCATCTACAAATGCGGTTGACAAAAGAAATGTTGGTCATGAGCGAAGAACATAGAGAGATTAGGAACCAAGGAAGTAGAAGTATGTGTAAACATAAACACGATTGGATTTGATAGATTTAAATTTATCTAAACTTAAATATTGTCGTGAACACACGTGAATGCGTTTTAATGGAAGAACTTTGGTCATGTGAGTTTTAATATTATAATAAACCACTTGCCCTTCATTGGTTTCTATTAAAAGTTCATTGGAATTTACAAATAACAATGGTTTCTCAACTCCAAGAAGAGAACTAATTGTCATTACTTTTGACCATGAAATGACATCTTTCTCCCTCTCCCAATTGTCGAAGGTTTTTTCATTCCCTGATACTAGATAGTGAAATATAACAATTGATCCATTCAAAATCTCCATACTTATATACTCCTCACGCTCCTCCGCTATATTGTTTGGTACTGAAATTTTGCCAAAAACTTCTTCCCTCATGTCGAATGTGTGTATAATATTAGTTACTCCTTCTTTGTATGCCCACCAATAATATGTTCCTTCATGATGCATCTGAGAGGCAACATGTGACTTTGATGCACGTACATAAGTAGGAGATTCAATTTCCCTCCATCTTTATTTCATCAAATCGTAAATTTCCACTCTAGTTGAGAAATTAGTTTCTCCATATCGGTTCCAAAATTCTACAACCCTAATCACTTTAAAATCCCTAGAATTGGAATCGTATCCGAATCCAACAGTGCTTGTGAACGAAAAATCAATGTCATAGGTATCCCCAGGATAATGAAGAATCGATAATGGGAGCTTACAAAACTTTTCGGTCGTCAGATTAAAGAGGAAAATATCCCTATCGAAGGAAAGACAAACCAAGCCATGAGAATGACTGCAAATATTGAAAAACTCATTTTTTTAATGGATTGTTGACATCGAGAATGGACATAGATCGACTGGGGGAGAGCGAAAGTGATTATGGAGAGTATATACATAAAGTTTTCAAAATCGACCATCACTCAATACTTGATAAAAATACGTTCATGTTGAAGAGAAAAAATTGTAGGATCTTTGATTAAAACGTACCAAAATTTGCAAACTAACTTAAATTGGAGTAAAGACTCTCTCAGAAGCCTCGATAAAATTTCGATCAATAATATTGTGGGAAGATCTTTTAGAGTGCCAGAGTGCCTAGGGTTTTGTAAAAAGATCTGGTTTGAAGTTTTATTAGATAATTTTGGTTTGTTCTTTTTTCCATCTCATGCACACAACACGAAGAACAACAAAAACAATGACAACAACAATAAGAACAACAACGACGAGAGGCAACAAAAAAATGTGGCATATCGTGCTTGTAGTTCATGATTATTTTGTTTTTTCAAAAAGTAATTTAACAACAACATAGAAATGTAGACAAACAAGATCTTTTTAGGTCAAAATTCCCAAAAACAACCTTAAAAACAACCTTAAAATTAACTACGAACGTAATGACTCTAATTTTCTACTATTCTAAAGTCGCTACAGTATGCGTGGCATAACTTTTGACAAGAAAATATTCATTCAAAGCTTCTTCATAAGACGATATCGTGGACTTATAGGTTTAAAATAAAATAAAGGAAAAATATTGAAAGATCAATGATCTATACTAACCTAAAGTCTACGAAAAATAAATGCAACTACCTGTCATGATCTTTGATGCGATGTCGCCATCAACCATAAAGAGGTACCTTGCCTTTACCTGAAATATAAAAGTGGCACGTGACTTGAGTATTTTAAGAAATACTCAGTAAGTGACCCCATTATTGAGGTTAGGTAATGCAAACACATGCAACATGAACGAAACTTATCATTTAACATTGTATTCTCTTAGGCAACTTTCCATCTCGGGTCATCGGATATGCATTTACTATCCTACACACTGCCCATACATGTGAATATGGACCCACCAGGTGATTCGCACACCCCCTAGGCCTCATACTGGTCGGACTAGCATCTCTAATGCTGTTGTCGAACACCCGGAAAGAATATCGACCATCATAGCATCATGTTAAACATGACGATCATTTTCCTTTTCATAATGTACACATTCGTACTCATCATAAGGGAAAATATCCCGATGCATGTGACATACATTTATGCATGAGATCCCAACATTTTTCACAGTAATTAAATCGGGTAAGACAACCCCATCCTTTTTTCTCCATTTCATTTCATTTATAGCATAGTCTTCAAAACATGTCTCGGGGTTGTGCGTCATAAATCTTTATCTCAAAATATTTCATCGCATGTCATACATGTCAACAACATATCATATCATGCAGTGCAACGTATCATATCGTTCAACATATTACATCCTTCGACATATCGTACCATTTAACATATCTTATCTTTCAACACATCATATCCTCAACATATCATACCATTCAACATATTATATCATTCAACATATCATACCATACAACATATCATATCATAAAACAAAGTACACATAGCAAACATATGACACGTGCGGGGTCACTAGACACGTGTCATTATGCATCACACAACTCCTCCAACCATACCGATAATAAGACCACTTACTTAATAGGTCTAGGTCGATACTACTACGACTCCTTGATGCTAGCTTAATGCTGCTCTCTAAAAGTTTATTTTGCCTAAAGAGTCTAACAATCATAAATTAGAATTCTATTCACAAAATTGACTCACCCAAATAATCATAATATTCATTCTTTATGAGAAACCAGTTTTTAGAGGTGAGATTCGTTGGGTTTATGTTGAGAATTATACAAAGTAACAATGTCGTTAGAATATGTTAAGAATTTAAACCAAGATTTGGAGTGTTAAACGACCAAAATACCCTTATGAGAATTCTAAGATGCTTTCAAAGACCCTAAAAGACTCGAAATACTAAGGACATTTATATGAGACTCATTAATAATATTAAGGGCAAGTGTGAAGGGGATTAGAACAAATTTGGGATATGAACCAAGAGGAAAAGTACGTAACTACCCCTTAAGATGCGTTTTAAAACGTGAGATTGACGCGATAAGTAACCGGCCAAAACAGACAATATTTACTAGCGGTAGACTTAGGCTATTACAACAAACATATTAGCGAAGCCTAACAAATTAATCCAACTAAAACAAAATTTTAAACATCATAGATTAAACTTGTACGTTGAAGAAACCGTCACTAACTACACATAGCAATTTATCACATATCGTGACTGTAGAGGGTGACTCGACCCGTGACCCAATCTGTGATCCAAGACCAATGCCTTGTTGAACACAACTCTCTGTGGGAAACACTCGCACTCTTTATTAAGACCAATCGAGAAGAGAATATAAGACACTGTGTAGAATACTTTTTGGATTTCTTGGATGAATAACCTAGGTAGGGCCCTAGAGGGGTATCATAGAGCCTACACAATCTACCTAACAAATCTGAATCTTTTTCCTAAAATATCTAGATCTCTTCCTCCTAAAATCTGTAGGTATCTTTTCTAAAATCTCTACTAAAATAAATATACAATGGGCTCGTACAATTATTGGACTTGACTCTATTGGGCTAGTGATGATATTTCAATACTCCCCCTCAGCACTAGTCCTCATTCGCTGCACCATGTTGAGCTAACAACAAAAACTCTCATGTTTGTCAGTATTCAACCCTTTTGTAAGCAAATCTGCCACTTGGTCATCTGTCTTGATCTGCTACATCTCGATTTCTTCCTTCAAGACTTTCTCTCTAATGAAATGGTAGTGTACCTCCACATGCTTTGTTCTAGTATAAAACACCGAATTTTCTGCCAAGCGAATCGCATATTGATTGTTGCAAGTGGTATTGGATACTCAATTTTCTAGTGTCAATCTTCGATCAAAAGCTTTAACCATGTATTTTTTCTGAGCTGCTCCAGCTGCTGCTCTGTACTCTGCTTCTTTAGTTGACAATGATATTGTTGGTTGTCTTTTGTTACACCAAAAAATTGAACACATACCCAACGATTGATCTTCGGGTATCGTGGTCTCCTTTGACACATCTCAAGGTTCGTCGAGCTGCATCCAAATGAGGCTTCTTCGGATTTTGCATATATTGATCAATGACTCCAACTGCATTTTCGAATTTCTTCGGTTGGTCCATGTAGAACTCTCTGTTTAACTCTCAATGCAAGAAAACATTATTCACATAAATCTGTCATAATTTTCAATCTTTATTTACCGTAAGTACTGGAGGAACTTGTACGATAATGATCTTTGCCACTGGACTAAATGTTTCATCATAGTCTAGTTCATATTCTTGAGGAAATCCTCGAGCCACGAGTCGAGCCTTGTATCTCTCGATTGATCCATTCGGTCGACGCTTTATTTTGTAGACCCACTTGCAAGAGATGGGTTTAACATCTCCTAGTCTTGACACTAGTTCCAAGTTTGATTCTGCTCCAGGGCTATAATTTCTTCCTCCATCGCTTTCTGCCAAACCGAGTTTTGTGATGCTTCTTCATATGTCTCCGGCTCATTGACTTCGTCTTCTACTGCGTTGGCATACTCTGGATTTGCCTTTAGGATTATTTCTGAATGTCTAAGTTGTTCAGGTGTCATTTCATTTTCACTAGACTCACTTGGTTGAGTCACTTCTTGCTCACCAACACTAGTGTCACTTAAATCTTCAGGCACATCAGCACTTAAGCAAATGTGTACAATTTTCTCCCCCGTCTTCTGTGGAAGAATCTCTTCAGTTTGCTCCCCTGTGTTCTGTAGAAGAATTTCTTCAGTTTGCTCCCCCGTGTTCTGTAGAAGAATTTCTTCTGTTTGCTCAAGGTCTGGTAATACTTCCTTCTCTAAGAGCCACCCCTCTTCCATTGCACCGCTTTGATCGTCAATCATGTGGTTTAAGCATCCTGAATCACTGATCCAGTCATCCTCGTAATCAATATGCTCTTCCATCATTGTCATGAGTGCTAGCTCGTCTTCTACTATTGGACATAGTACCTCTGCATCCCATTCCTCTATCTTCTTTTTGGATATTGCCACATTGGTTTCAATACTTTTTCCTGGACCAACAATCTCTAGACATGTGGCCCTTTTTCCCGCCATTATAGCAAATACCTTCAAATCTCTTTTCTTTGAAACTCATGTTGTCATTTTGTAGTTCCTTGGTGGCTTCTTCTTTTGTCACCATTGTATCCACGTTTGGTAGACGGTCTATTATTGCTCCGACTTTCACTTGTGTAGAGTGCTTCTTCTTCACCCTTCAATGTGATGCCTCCCATTTGTTTAGCCATGGCTTCTTTGATGGCTAACAAATTTTCGAACTCTACAAGTGATGGTTGAGTAGGCCATCCTTGTACAACAGTAATAAAGCTTCTATATTCCGGTCGCAATCCGTGGATTATAATCCTCTTCATTCGAGATTTTACAATGGCATACTTCGGGTCTAGTTCAGTAATCTCCGACAGATCGATTTGACCTTGTGGAAGTACTGAGCAATCGTTATGTCACGTTGTGAAATTGACAACAACTCATTCTTCAGAAGTTGTAGCCTCGTATCGTTCTTCTTTGAGAACATCACAAATGTGTCACATGCTTCTTTCGGTGTCTTGTCATCCCAAATATGTTCTAAATATCTCTTCTTCGATTGTGGTCTTCAAGGAAAACATTGCTTTGCCTACTTTGATTCTCCATTTGCGCAAGGCGCCGTTAGAATCCTCCTCTGGCAGCGTAGTTTCACACCCGCCAACGATCTGCCAAAGATTCTGTCCTTGTAAATAGGACATCATGCATGTTGCCCACATGTTGTAGTTGTTGTTGAGTTTCTTGATTCCTTCAACAATTTGGAAATCACCCATCGTGTTGGCTATACCTCAGTAATACCAAACAAGCTCTTTCGACACAAGACTTGCAGAGTCACAGACTACTCACGACACAAAAGAAGCTCACTTACTACTAATCTGAAGAAATCGTTTTTGATGTGGAAGATCAGATAGAGCTGCAACCAAAGAGCATACTAAGAATTTCAAGAGATCAGATAACATACACTAACCTTGCTCTGATACCAATTGTTGAACACAACTCTCTGTGGGAAACACTCGCACTCTTTATTAAGACCAATCGAAAAGAGAATACAAGATACTGTGTAGAATACTTTTTGGGTTTCTTGGATGAATAACCTAGGTAGAACCCTCGACGGGTATTTATACTAGAGGCCTATACAATCTAGACCTAACAAATCTAAATCTAAACCTAACAAATTGGAATCTTTCTCCTAAAATCTACAGGTATCATTCTTAAAATCTCTACTAAAATAAATATATAATGGCCTCGTACAATTATTGGGCTTGACTCTATTGGGCTAGTGATATATTTGAATGTGCCTTCCCAAACTGCAACTGGTTTCAACTGTGACCGACCTGGTTCCTTCTTGAGCCAACAAGATTTTGGCAGTGTCATAGAGAGAGTGTGAGCAGTCCTTCCCACAGTCGCGTCTGTAATCATTTGTGGGGAGCCTTCTTGCATAATATAGGTGAGTGACAACATGCGAAGTGCTCCTTTTTGCCCCTCTTGAGGATAAAAGAATTATGTGGATAGTCTGTCGGTAGAGCCCGAGAATTCCGAGGAGGCGCTGGAGTTCTCGGGCAACGCCAAGTTGATTCTCATCCACGCTCTACGACACGCCAGATCTTCCCCATGACCCTCCAAACCTTGAGGACCTTAGAAAAACACCAAACTGAATGCGAAGGCCATTCGGGTGAGGGAACTTACAAACTGCAATACAAAATTCTGAAGTGTGAGGAGGAGAAGTTGACAGACAAATAGGGAGAGAAAAATTGGAGAAAAGACGTCGGAAAACGTCGCGGGAAGGAGAGAGAAAGTTCGTCCAAAAATGCAGGAATCGGGTAAGGAAAAAGGAAACATCGGATCCGGGTCGGTTCAGCCCGTTAGTCTCGGTCCAGCCTGTTCAATCTCGACCCAATACCCATCTTCAGCTGAGCTCACCTACAGTGGTCCAATTCCCCTCGGCCTAAAATCCGAGAATCTGCGACCCTCGCCCACTCTGCAACCCCAACCGCGAACCCGGCTGCAACTTGAGACTAGACATGCGGTCCAGCCCGCGAACCCGAGGCTCAAGACCCTTTCCGCCCAAAACACTTTTGATCCATTAGCCTGCAGCCCAGCCCGCAAATCGAAGCCTACCAACCCACGCCTACAACAAATGAACCATGAGCCAACCTGAACCGGCCTTGACCCAACGGCACCTGCACTACGTGGTGCGTCGTGCTGCTGCCATGTGGCACCCAGTGGCACAGTCACCCCCTCGGTTCGGCTTCTCCAATTTTGGTTCGGTTTCCACCATTTTGATCCTCCCGAACCTATTTTTGGCCCCAATTAAAGTAATTGAGGCCATTTTGCGGTCGTATTTCCTGTTTCCTAATTAAATGTTAATTTAATCGTAAAATACTAACGGAAGGTGGCGAACGATGTGATAGGAAACAAACTCCGAGAACGTTTGGAGCAACTCTCAAGAAATGAGAGCTTACGTTTAGTTAATTAGGGAATATTTCGGCCAAGGCCAACTATGTAAGTGACCTTACAATAGATATGCTAGAACTTGTATGAGTTACAATTTATGATGTATGAGTTGTAACGTTTGATGCCATATACTAGTATCGGCGGAGTTTAGATCTTCGGCGCGTTCCCAGCTGGTTTCCTCTGTAGGGAGATTCTTCCATTTGACAAGGAATTCATGAATCGTCCGTATAGGTCTTCCTATCTTCCTAACCCTATCGGCGAGGATCTCCTCTACTTCTTTTGTTCTTTTTTGCCTTAGATCGACGCTCGGTCTTGTGATTGTATTTCGTTGGTCGTCGTCTGGGTCAGGGTGGTATGGCTTCAAGTTGCTCACATGAATTATGGGTGGATTTTCATCCATGCGGGTAGTGCAACTCGGTAGGAGGTAGTCCCGATCTTTTTAAGGACTTCAACTGGGCCTTCATATTTTCGAACTAGTCTCTGGTCCTTTCGGCTGCGAAATCTGATCTGTTCTGGTTTCAGCTTGATGAGGACTTGATCTCCTGCTCGGAATTGAAGGGGGTGACGCTTCTTGTCTGCCCACTTTTTCATATGCTTAGAAGTCTTCTCTAAATATGCTCGGGCTATATCTGTTGTCTGCTTCCATTCTCTTGTGAAGTTGTGAGCTTGAGGGTTTTTTCCTGCATAAGGATGATCAATAATATGGGGTAACGCCGGTTGTCGTCCACTTACAATTTCAAAGGGACTCTTTCCCGTAGACGAGCTGGTTTGACAATTGAAGCAAAATTGGGCGACATCTAATAGTTGTATCCAGTTCTTCTGGCGAGCGTCGACGAAGTGACGTAAGTATTCTTCAAGCAAGCAATTGAACCGTTCTGTCTGTCCATCGGTTTGGGGGTCGTAACTCGAGGAGATGTTTAAGGTTGTTCCCAAGAAGGCGAATAACTCGGTCCAGAATGTCCCAATGAATCTGCCATCACTGATGATGCTCGACAGAATGCCCCATAACTTTACAATGTGTTTGAAAAATAGTTGAGCTGTGAGTTCGGCCGAGCATGATTTGGGAGTGAGGATGAACGTCGCATATTTTGAGAATCGGTCTACGATAACCAAGATAGCGTCATATTCCCCTACTTTTGGGAGGTGTGTTATGAAGTCCAAAGATACACTTTCCCAGGGTCTTGTCGGCACAGGTAGAGGTTCCAAGAGTCCTGAGACTTTGGCTTTCTCGACTTTGTCCTGTTGACAGATGAGGCACGTCTTGGTGTATTGCATGATGTCGTCTCACATGTTTGGCCAAAAGTACCCCTTTTTTTATTAGGGCGTATGTTCTTTGCCACCCAGGGTATCCGGCCCATAAGGTATCATGACATTCTTGAATGAGCTTCTTCCTCAGTTCTCCTATTCTTGGGACATACAATCTGTTTCCTTTTGTCATCGGAAGGTCTCCCTCAACCCAAAACTGTCGTGTTTTCCCAGCTTTAGCTAGTTCGACGACGGCTTTGGCTGATGGGTCTTTATGTAAATGTTCCTTAATGATGTCGCGCATCGATCCATTGATCTTACTTGAGTGAATATGGGCTAACATGCATAGGGCCACATGTTCGCCCTTCCGACTCAGTGCGTCGGCTGCTTGATTACTCTTTCCTGCTTTGTGTTCGAACTTGAAGTCGAATTCGGCCAACGACTCCTGCCACCAGACTTGTTTTGCCGTCAATTTTGGTTGATCAAAGAAGTGGCAAATGGCGCTGTTATCCGTCTTCACTACAAATCTTGATCCCAAGAGCTACTGTCTCCAGACTCGAAGGCAATGAACTACTGTCAGCATTTCTTTCTCGGAGACAGTGTATCTACGTTCGGCGTCATTGAGCTTTCGACATTCGTAAGCGATGGGGTGGCCTTCCTGAATAAAAACCCCACCTAGGGCAAAGTCGAAAGCATCTGTTTCTATTTCAAATGGCTTTGTAACATCTAGCAATCCGAGGACAGGACCCCTCATCATGGTTGTTTTCAGATCTTCAAAGGCCATTTGACAATCATTTGACCACGACCAAGGGTGGTCTTTCTTCAACAGCTCTGTCAATGGGGCAGCTCGTCGTGAAAACCCTTCGACGAACCGCCTATAGTAGTTGGCTAATCCTAAGAAGGACCGCACATCGGATACGGAAGTAGGAACCTTCCATTCTTGGATAGCTTTTATCTTATCGCTATCCATACTAATCTGTCCACATTTGACGACATGTCCAAGGAAGTTGATGCATGTTTGTGCAAATGCACATTTCTCTTTCTTGACATACAGTTGGTTTTGTCGTAGCTTGTCGAACACCAGCTTCAAGTGCACTTTGTGTTCCTCTAGGGTTGTGCTGTAAACCACTATGTCGTCGAGGTATACTATGACAAACTGATCCAAGTATTCGTAGAAAACTTGGTTCATCAGCGTGCAGAAAGTAGCTGGAGCGTTTGTCAAGCCAAAGGGCATTACTAGGAATTCGAAGGCCCCATATCTTGTTACACACGTCGTCTTGGGCTCGTCCCCTTCGGCAATACGTACTTGGTAATACCCTGATCGTAAGTCCAACTTCGTGAAGTACTTGGCCCCGTGAAGTTGGTCGAACAAGTCGGATATTATCGGCAGTGGATATTTGTTGCGTACCGTCACCTTGTTTAAGGCTCTATAGTCTATGCACAGACGCAACGTCCCATCCTTCTTCTTCTGGAACAGTACGGGGGCTCCATAGGGTGCCTTTGCCGGGCGGATGAATCCCACCTTTAGCAACTCATCCGGTTGTTTCCTTAATTCGGCTAGCTCGGGCAAAGCCATCCGGTATGTGTTCTTCACTGGCGGTTTAACCCCAGGGATGAGTTCGATTTCGTGATCAATGCCTCGACGAGGTGGTAATGTTTGGGGTAAGCTCTCTGGCATTATGTCAGCATAGCTGTTTAGTACCTCATTGATTTCATTTGGGACAGTTTCTTCGGTGGTCGCTACTTCCATCAATGGTATGGCCATAAATGTAGGTTCCTCTCGTGCGAGTCCCCTTTTCAATTGTATGGCCGAGATCATTCGAAGATTACCTGGTTGCTTGATGCTTGCAGGTATTACTGTGGGGTTGCGGTCGGTGATCATTAAGCATTTTGCCAGCGGCATTGGGGTAACTTTGTGTTCTAGGAGAAACTCCATCCCAAGTACCACGTCAAAGTCGTCCATGCGAGCTACGACAAGATCTAGCTCTCCTGTCCAATCCCTTATTTTGAAGAGGACTCTTTTGGAAACTCCCACAATAGGCAAGGCCTCAGAGTTGACAGCTTTCATTTTCCCCAGGTCCTTTCCTATAGTGAGTCCTAATCTTCGGGCTTCTTGATCGGCGATGAAGTTGTGGGTCGCTCCTGAATCTATCAAAGTGCTCCTGCTCGGTTGAGAATTTATTGTCGCATCTATGAACATGAGCCCTTTCTCTACTATCTCCTTCGGTTCGACCTTCCGTTGGAGGGCTGAAGAATTTAAGCGCGCCCATTTGGGGGATTGTCTTGATCTTCCTTCTTGTCAAGCATAGTCTCAACCTTGCGTCGTTGCTCTCTTGAATGGACACTTGGAGTGCAGTGAGAGAGGCCCGATGAGGACAGTAAGATACTTTGTGGGGACCTTTACACAGCATGCATTGTAAAGGCATCGTCGGGTGGTTCCTTTGATGGTAAGGTCCTCGAGATGTCCCCGCTTGGTTGTTCTGAGG